GATACATAGACAGTGAGTTTGTGCAATGCTTTCACTTGGCTATTTTGGCTTTGTGTAGCGAAGATTTTTGTCGTTACGCAAAGCCAAAATAGCAAGTCAAAGAAAAGCACAAACTTGGTATCCAGGTGCACATTGACCTATTTTCACTTGAAAAAAACCTCAGAGAATTGCACAAACTTGGCATTGTGCACTTCCTTGACTTTGTACACGTCAATCTATTGTCACTTAAAAAGTCAAAGGAGCAGCCAATTCTATACTAGAGCCAAAAAGAAATGTATAATCTCAATAAACTAAAATCAAACAATGAAATAACATAAAAAAGGGGGTTCTTTCTAGCATCTAAGCACTACACAAAGGAAATATCCACTTAACATTATTTTGAAATTGCTGTGTCTTCAGTCAAACGGAATTCCTTATTAACAGTATCCGGAAACTTCCTAAAACTATCTGAAGTAGAATCTGTATACTAGCGTTGCCACGTAAGTTCACAAAAGTAAGAGTAAAAAATGTCCTCTGTAGTGCTGGTATCCTCTAACTTTCGACCATATGCATTTCCTTCATACAAACAAGACACTTTTAATTCCATTGAATTACATTCAAGAAAGTTTCTTTTCTTCTGTTCTCAACCTAAAAAAGTTTTCAGATTTTTAAATTATGTCCGAAGGGGTGTTTTTTTAATATTTTGTGTGTTACCTTTATTTATCAAATATCATATTCTTCGCGCTTAAACCATAAAATTCAGTTCAACAGCAATATCGCAAAATAATTTTAAGATGAGTATATCTTTAGAATTTCCAATACACAGTTCTGCGCGCTGGAGATAAAAGGCCCCCCCCCTCACCCGTAGAGTCTGCCTTTGCTCGCTTTTAAATCGTTGAGTTTGTTAGTCAAAACTTCATTAAAGTTTAACAAAATATGAAATAGATAATAAAATAAATTCCAAATTTGTTCTTCCAGTTGCCCATATTCAGGAGGAAACGTACATTATTCAAAGTTCAATGGCTCATTGTTTATCACAATGCAAGAAACATACACACATTTATGCAGACTCTTCATTATTTAATTTCCTTAAATATAATACAGGGTGATAACATTTGGTGGCAACAATTTGAAAAGTGAATCGGACATTTATAATGAACCAGTGCAAAATGCCAGAATGAAAATAATAGTCCTTCAGGACAAATTGCCCCATTGGACTAAAAAACTCAGTGACGCTACAGCCCTAGTGGGCCATGGCCTGCAGTGCCCCAAAATTTGCTTTCTTGACCGTGGGCCCTGGGTACGTGAGCTCTGAACAAGTAGTCAGCTTTTTGCAGAACCTCTGCACTGTGTTTAGTCAAGCGAACTTGGTACTTATTTTATTGACCCACTCAAGGAATGAAAGGCTGAGTCAACCTTGCCCATACCTGTGGTGCTGCTGCACGATGCACTAGCCACTGCACCACCAGGTCTCAACCACTTCAGAAAAAAAAGAAACACCCTCCATTCTCTCATTCGATACCACTAAACACCCACTTTATCACCGGCAGCCATTTTATGATGCAAAGCACACAGTACACGACATAATCCTAACTGACATCCAACAAATATTTTCCCATCAGGTCAAATTCACTGCAATGACACAACCAGTTACTTCATAATAGGGTTTCCATAATATTCAATTACTACTATTCTACTACTACTTACCATAAATTAAACAACAGCATCGTTATAATCCAAGGGGCACCCTTAAATATAGGCTAATCTAAATCTCTTGTGTAACTATTTCAATCAACCATTGTTTTGATTCATTTGAAGCTAGTTTGGGTTCTCAAAACTTAGATTAATATACGGCAACACCTGACTTTATAAGTGAATGGAATAGCAGTAATGAAAGAAATTCATAATCGGGAAAAACACTTTTTTGTTCAGACACCTTTTTCTTGCAGAAACGAAAACTATATAACTATATGGGCTTTGAGCTACATTTTTAATTTTATGAGGTGATTATTCAAAAGTAATCTGGTTTTGTGAAGAATACCTCTTTTTTGAAAAAATAGGGTAGCCACTTGTTCATTTCTTGATAAATCCAAAGTTGTAAAATCCAGTGCTGTGGGGAAGGGGGGGATTCCTGATTAGATGGAAAATGTGGCTGTGCAAGTGGTGGTTATTAAGACAAGCAATATCGGATGTCGAGGAAATGTGCGAAAAAAAGGAGGTGGCAGATGGTATTGCTCTAATATTTAAAAGAGTTCATATGTTTTAAATATGTTCACTATTTTGGGGGGTTAAATTTTGATAGCGGGTGTTATTATTTCAAATTTTTGTTGACTCTGAAGACCTTTTTGATTGAAATATGTTCTAAATATATAAGTATGTTGTATATTTCAAGCCTTTTATTGTAGCCTGAGTGACAAATTTGCAGCAGATAAGACCACCATAAATGTTGTTTTCCTCTATATTTTTCCTTTTTATTCTACACCTTAGACTCCTACACCTAATTCTAATTAATCACCACTGATTGAGCTTAGTGTACTATCATCACTGTCACTACTAGGTCTTTCTAGTATGCTGGCTGTCTTCCTAATTTTGGGAAAAGAAACTAAACTGTGCATATGCTACTTAGCAATGGGAACTGAAGGTTAAAAAAATAGTTTTACACATTTATGAAGTAAGGTTGATAAATGCCAACTGGAGAAATTTCATGTATACTGTAAGGCCCTATTGAAGAGAAATTCGAGAAAAGTGATAGATTGTCATAATTTTCAGGTAGAAATTCTTGCAGAATAACAAAACCTTGGTTGTCATTGTTCAGAAATTCTTCCTACAGCAGAATCTCCCTGGTAGCAGCACCATGTTCAGAAGTATGATTTTGAAAGAGTATTTTCTTGGGTAAACATTTTTATTGTATTTCCCTTAGGAAATCATCTTTATTGTATTGAAGTCTATAACTGGGAGAGACGTACGAGATTGGCTTCATTTAGACATTGATCTCAGTTCACAGACCATTGGGTTAGTGATGGGTTGACATTCATTTAGTCTTTCGAGGGGGTAAATATGAGAATTGAAAAATGAAAAAAAAATTTTTTCTCTATTTTTTTTTCTGAATTAGAACAAATGGTAATAACTTGCTAATTCAGAAATTTAGACATATCACAATAATAATACTAAATTGTTTACTTAAAAAAATTAGTTATTGTATGTTTATTTTTTCAAAAGATGAATGTTATGCATACAATTATAATTTTTTTTTTTTTTTTTTTGCTACAGTGTAGTACTGGTTTACGTGTTTTGTATTGTAAACATCAGATGTGTACTTTCGTATTATGTCGTTGACCATGAAAGTTGGTGGAGATCCTACTAAAGTTGTGTCAACTGTTCATGTGGAATTCTGAGCCACACTTCTCTCTGCACAATCCACCAAGTAACCACTGCTGCAGAAGTATTTGTCCCGCTTCATTTTTGTTTCAATAAAAAGATTTTAGTCAATTTCTATTATTTTATTACAGTGTTCAATTTTACTGAAAGCTTTGTTTAGAACACAATGTGTACACATTTCCTGCAGGTGATTGTTCTAATCTATTACTGTTTTGGCAGTCATATCCAGCTTTCTGCTTTCAACAGGTTTTTAATTCTTTCAGCCAGCTATAAATGAACTGGAGACACTAAAAAATATCTGTATCTATATATAGAGATACAAATTAAAGTAAAAAGAACAAACGATAAAAGACCTATGTGGTCAAAAACTTCGTGCATTGTGCTGCAAAATTTAGAAAAAGGTTAAAAGAAAAATCCTAGTTTGTACGCTAAAAAGCAGCTTAAATACTGTGGTTCCGTGAAAACATTAACATAAGCAAAATAAGTTGCAATGAAATGTGTTACAAGAGTAGCAATATGCTAATCAAATTAAGGTATATTAAAACATTAGTAAAAGTAATAACAAATGATTTGAGCAAAAATATAAAAACTAAGAAGCGGTAAATGGTAGATTAGCCTAATTTGAATCTCATTATGGCTCATCAGGGGAAATTATTTTTTAGTGAATTTCGAATCAAGCTAATTCCATATCGCGTTTCGCCGAAACAGACAATTGAAACTGTACGCGAAACTTTTTTATATATCTATATATATAGATATATATATTTTGTATCGAATGGCGTGCACTTGCCTTTTTTCTGCATTGGCCACTCCTAAGGCTAGAAGTGGTGGCCATTTTATTGTGGAGGCACTTAAGAGGCTGCCACTGTTACCTCCTATGAGGGAATAGACAATTTACGTCCATGCCTTCTCCGGGATTTGAAGTCAAACTCTTTGGTATCACGGTTGGCTCCTCTAACCACTATACTTGCTGTGCAGCTCACTCAAAAATATGAAAATATCATTCTGCAGTTCTCGAACTCATTTTTGTTTTTCAAAATGTAAGGGAAATAATGCAGCAATAACAGTTAATTTAGAGCCTCTAATTTTTAATTAGAGGTGTAGTGGTTAAGTCTACTGCAATACCTAATGGCCCGGGTTGAAATTCCAGAGGAGACATGGCTGTAATTGTCTGTCCCTTCGCAGGAAGTAACAGTGGCCCACCTATTAGGTGCTTCCACAATAAAGTGCAAACACTTCTGATCTTAATACTGGCGAAGCCTAAGTCAGATAAGTGTCTACCAATAAGGGGGGGAGTGTTAATTTATATACTTGTTCATGAAAACAAATTGTGGCTTTTAAAAAATCAGTCAGAGTTTATGAAATGAAGATGCAGTTGCTATGAGTGTGTTATGACATCGCACTTGCGCATAATAGTTCGCACTAAATCTTGCTGCTTGGCAACAGTTTCATGGTCGATGGGATAATGCATATGTACCCATCAGTTATCCTAATTTATTTATTTTGACTGGATAGCTTAAAATAGTCTTTAAAAAAAATTCCTAAGTAAAATGGTTTGAAAAATTCTCATTAAAATTTTTAATTATAAACTAATGCTATATTTTATAATTTTAATTTCATGTTCGATCTCTGTTTTTCATTAGATAGTGCCTTTAAGCAACAAAAACTCCCAGCGTGGCAACCTATACTTACTGCTGGTACTGTTTTACCAACTTTTTTTATAATTGGATTGGCTTTTATACCAATTGGAATTGGTTTGCTAGTATCATCAAATCAAGTGAGCTATTTTTAAAGCAATACTTGTAATTAAATGTGTATTGAATTTTATATTTACCCCTTTTTATTAATTTATTTATTACATTTTTGTATGCTTGTATATATAGTTTATTTCAGTTAACATATTTAGTGTTATCTGTATGATAAAATGTTACTCTTTTGTAAAGGCAAGCATTTTATTTCAGATGATTTATAAGAAGTAATCTAAATATTGCATTCTTATAAAAATTTGTTTTAATTATTACTTATAATACAATTTTTAACTTAATTTTTTAATGAAAATTTTACCATTAAAAGTTTTAAAAAATTAAAAAGCAAGCCTTTGTTCTTAAAAAAAAAAAAAAAAAAAAAAAAAAAAAAAAAAATGGCTGATATTGCCAACTCATAAAAGTAAATTTTTACTATTGACTAAAATTAAAATTCGATCTGAAATGAATTTCATTTTAAACACTGTGATATTTCTTTCTAAATTTCTAGTTTGAAAGAAAAATGATATAAACAGAAAAATATCAAAACAGTATAAAATGTCTTATGTGGAAAAATAGATACTTTTCCATTAAAGAGATACCAGTTTGTGTGTTACACACACACACAAATAATAAAAGTATACAGTGAAGCCATGATCTATCAGTTTTTGATGAGATGAATTAAAAAACAATAAATGGAGGAAAATGTGTTAAGATGGTAAAATGTACCACATTTTAAATGATTAACATATTGCAAATAAATAATAATTATTACTTTCAGCATGAATATAATCATTAAACTACATTTCAGCAAAAATATTATGTATTGTGTTTTGTTTCTTGGCTGAATTTTGTCTTGATCTGATTTTCAAGGCATTACGTGTTTTGTCAGTCCATTTCAACTTCCATTTGGCATGTAGGAAAATTTGTAATATTTTTTAAACCTTCAGAAATCTTGGTGAAGTTTGAACCATTTTTTTTTTTTTTTTTTTTTTTTTTTTTTTTTTTGTAAATTGAGAATTTAAGAAACAGTCTTACAGAGGTAAGTAAAAAAAAAAAAAAAAAAAAAAATACAGCAACACAACACAAAATAAACATACAAATTCACAGATGGCACGTAAGAGATAAATTTACAGAAGTAAGAGAAAGCCATTTTATGTTGGACAAATACGTGAAGATGGGGAGGAAATGTAATATTCACAGAGTTTTAAACTAAAAATGAGTTCTTTTCGTCCTTCCTTGAGCTTTGAACAATAGAAAAACAAATGTTCGACATTTTGCATGCCCGCGAAACTGCATGAACATAAGTCTGTACTAGATAATGTATATCTCTTCAGATATGAATTGAATTTACCATGTCCAGTTAGAAATTGAGTAACTTCAAAATTGCAGAAAAAGTGTGTATTATTCAATCTGTGAGGAATGAAAGGAAAATATAGTTTCGTCAAAGAGGCAGTAGTAGAATTCTCGTATAATTCATTCCACTTGAGTGTTGTATCATCCCTATTTTTGTTCTTGAAAAATGACTCAAGCAGTATCATTGGAGTATTTACTTGAAGATGTGTAGCTTGTTTTGCCAACAAATCAGCCCTTTCTTTTCCTAGATTTCCAGTGTGGCCACGTATATGAGAAAAGATAACATCAGTACCTTTATTATTAAGATCTTTAAGAAGGGCATGAGAAGTGACAATTAATTTATTACATGAGAAGATATTCCTAAGAAAATATAAGGATGAAAGAGAATCAGTGCGAATAAGAAATTTAGCACTTAGTTAGTGAACAGTTGTTAGATATCCACTTAATTGACTTGCTAATGCACAGTAATTCAACTTTGAAAACACTGCATTCATTGGGAATTCTAAAGAGTTTGTATTCCAGTTCAGAACCATGATAGAAAACGACATAAGCTAATCCAACTCGATTATTAATTTTTCTGCCATTTGTATAAACACACAACAGGGAAATTATCATCAACAGAATTGTCATAAATGATAGTTTGAATTGGCAAACGATTGGCAGGATGAGGAAGATCTTCAAACAACACCTTGGTATCGAACATAAATTTGCTGATGGTATCTTTAAACTTTTGTCATTTAAAACATGAAGGTCAATCGAAGGAAATGCTGAACTTGTGAAACAGGCTTCATAGCTAATTGTTCTGTAGCCAAGCATAACTCTTAGTAAAATTCTTCTTTGAATTCTCTATGAAGTGTCCAGGAATTAATCTTCTTTTCTAAAGTTGTTCCCCATACTCTAGAAGCATAGCAAATAAAGGGGACAATACCCTGCTTATAAATCATATCGATAACATTAGATTTTAAATCAAAAGTATTGCAAGAGACATGATTAAGTCCTCTAAGTATATTTTCACACTTTTTGGATAAATACATAATATGATTTTTCCAACAAAACTTATGATCAAGAATAACACCTAAATATTTAATTTCATTCACTATTTCGAGCAAGGTATTATACAAGTACAATTGTTTGTTTGTAAAGCTCACATGCTTTCTTTTAATTATCATAATTTTAGATTTATTAGGATTGATTTCCAATTTCTGTTCTCTGGACCAATTGGAAATAATATTATTAAAGGTGTTCTGAGCCGTACTTAAGAGAGTAATGGGACACTTCTCTTGAAAACAAATTCAGCAAAAGCAATTGTTGTGATCATCAGCAAAAGCAATTGTTACAACTCGGACAATGTGAGAGTCTATTGAGTACATCATTCATAATTAAATTCCACACTAAAGGTCCAAAAACCAAGCCTTGAGGGCAGCACCTTTCCAAAATGCAGGAGGAAGAAACGTGCCCAAGGGAGAGCAATGCAGATCTGTCATGCAGAAAATCTTTTAATAAGGCGGAAAATATTACATGGAATACCAGCTTTCCTTAAAAAAAGAAATATCCCAGGCCAACAGGCATGGTCGAAAGCACCTTTGATATCAAGGAACACTAAAACTGTGTGTAAATTTCTCTTCTTACCTTCGTCCACTATGTCTTGTACAAAAGAGCATCTTCACAACTCTTATGAGGGGTAAAACCAAACTGTGCTTTGTTTAGCAGTTTTTTTTATTATACAAGAAGCAGGTAATTCTATTAACAAACAGCTTTTCTAGGCATTTTCCTGAACTGTTAAGAAGACTAATGCATCTCAAGTTATCTAAATGCGGGATACGAGGACCACTATTCTCATGGATTAAAATGACATTCGCTCTTTTCCAGCAACGAGGAAATGAACCAAGCTTCAGACAAGTATTGAAGATTTTGGAGAATAAATTTGGAAACATTGTATGAACTTGCTTCAAAATTTTGTTTGAAATAGATTCAAGACCAGGAGCTTTAGTGCATTTAAGGATTTCTATAACACAATTAATTTCTGACATAGGAATGGACGATCTGGATTAGCAACATAATTTAACAAAGCTTCAGCCCTAATCATTCTATGAAACGAATTATCCGTGCTAAAAGGGTCCGTGAGAAAGCTTCTGTTAAGAACCTCATTAGTAGTTTCTTCTAGCGACTTTGTACAATTACCAGATGGGAGATAAATTCCACTGACTTCAGTTCCTTGTGAAACTCAATTCAATTGTGAACCATGCTGTGTTCTTTTTATCTTCTTCTTCCATACATCGTGTAAGCCCTAGCAATTCTGGAAGTATAATACTAATCTAATCCTAGAAACTCATGAAAACTAGCAGAGGTAAACTAATGAAAAATAACAGCTGTAAATTTTAAAGCTTGCAGTTTGGTAACAAGGTTAATAACATGTACTCCCTAAACTGAGGGCTTGTATCCAAATTTATGGGCCAAAGAGAAGGTGTTGTAAATAGTAAGTACTATCTCACTTCATTTTTTTCCCCTGAATCATCTGTGTGAGATACATGTGTTAGGAATGTTATTTGCAAATAATTTGTGTAATAAAATTATAGTTCTGGGAATTATAAATGTGGGAATAATTTAAAGTATCTATATTAAACTTTATACAAGACCAAATATGTATGCTAGAAAGCAGTTGCTGTGGTAATGATAAATTGAGCTTCTGCTATATGCAGAGAGAATTCCATTCTGTACTTTCCTAAAAGATTTTCTCATTGGCTTTTGATTTGATTATATATGAAAAAAAAATATTATTCAAGAAGTACATGTTAGAAATTTTGGAACTGATATATTGTTGGGTATTAAAGAAACATATTTTATTTATCACACTTACATACTTGCTAACCTACGACACTCAAAAGTCAGGAGATTTTTCACAATGTTTAAAAGACTTTTTAAATGATAAAAATATAGTTTTTAATAATGAATTAACTTTAAATAACTGCTAATTCTGAAATGCAAGCAACACAAAAATACCTTACACATAAAAAACATTTTTTATTACTTGCAAAAAAAAAAAAAAAAAAAAAAAAAGACACTTTAATCAGTTTTTGTACAAATGTTATGAACAGTGGCAGATTTTGCTTTCATTAAGAAAGAAACGTCATAATTTTGTTCATAGCAATTGCCACGTAGGCCTGCTTTCGCTAATAAAAGTTTTTCTAATGTGTCATCACTAACATTAGATCTAAATTTAACAGTGTTGTTGTGTTTTCACAACAACACTGAAAATCCTCTCACACTCTGCATTACTATGGGGAACTGTCAAGATGGCCAACATAATGCTAGACAGTTTACTATATTTTAAAATTCCATCAGCCCCTTTCAATTTTCCAATTAAACTCCACTGAGTGTCAATCCTAGCTGATTTTATAACTTCATCCAAGTTTTCTAATTGTAAACTGCAAAATTGTGACTGCAATATTTATCAGTGGCAACATCAATATCATCATCTTTCATGACTAGATGAAGTAACACAGGAAATCTGTCCAAAAAGTACCTTATATGAGAAAAAGATGCATTTGCTAGAGCAGAAACATCAGCAACTTTAGCATGCAAAATCACTTCATCGTTGATTGGAAATTTATGTAGTATGTAATCGCATACTCGACAGAAGCAACTTCTAACATAAAGATAAAACTTTTTGTCTTCTTCT